CACGTCCGCGAGACCTTCCCACGGTCGGCTCTGTATGCATTCCCCATTGCCTTGGGGCTCATGCTTGTTCTCTGCTCTATCACGTAAGTGTGTATGTAACCCGCAGTTCAGTGTTTATGAAGCGGCTCCCTCCATGCCCAGTCCACATAGGAGATGGTTTGCTTACACTCCTACTTCCAAGATTTAATCCTGCAGTTTACATTGTGTTCAATCTGGTTCCTAGCCATGACCAAGATGGTGGTCATCACATGTGGACTGCATCACTTAGCAGGTGGTGTATGGTATGGCATAGTTGGGATATGTACCTGTAGTGTTAGATGATACAAATAATGCTTTTACCTTAACCTTTCCTACAAAGTAGTTTTGTGGAATGGCATGCCAGAGGAATTTTCCCTATGCTATCACTTGTAGATCCAGTAAATATAGCCTCTTGTGTGCTCAATGATCCTGCTAAACCAAGAAATCTCAATAGGCAAAACTCTCTTTTTCTTCTCTTTCTATTTAAGCAATTACTTTTCTTTCAGTCATCATGTTGAGTTGCCGTGACCTTTCTCTTTTTCCTTAGGATATGTTTTCTTGTGCAGTCTGCTATGTTATAGGTAGAATCAACACTGTATGTTTTGATTTGTGATGTGCCCTGTGCTTTTAAAACAAAGTAGTCCTTCAGAGAAATATATACAAGAATAAGTTTTCTCAGTTTATGAAGTACTTCATTAAGCCTCTGGGTGTGGTAAAAAGTAATTAACTTACAAATAAAAAATGTTCATAAAATTTAGACGTGAATTTTCTGAAAGGTTGGGAATATTCAGATTTGGGTTTTGAGTTAAATGCATATATTTTATGGCTTATTTTTACATAAAGAGCAATAGTTCTCATTACCAAAGAAAAGACTAGGGTCCTCTTACTGGACAGCGGTAGATGTATCCATCACTCCCCGCTGTATAAGTTTCTGCTGAGATGGGAGGAAAAACTTTTTTCCTTTCTTTGAAAAAATCTATTTGTGTGAACTGAGGCTTTGGATACCTGCTATACCACACCCAGTCCTTCCAGGAATAGTTTTGCTGTATTTAGGAGTGATTTTTGTTCTCTGGGAAGTGTACTTGATAACTTCATGAAAGAGTATGGTCCAGTATTCCTGAGAGAATTGCACCTCAAATTTGCCTTCTCTGCCAAATCCCCAAACTAAACTTCTCAGTACTTTGTTTTTTTCAGTGTTGCAGCTAGAAGCAGCTTTATCCCACCAAGCAAGAGAAAGTTGTAGTTACAGCAAGTTGGGTCTTATTTTAATTTTCTTTTTCTTTTCCTTTCTTGGTCCCCAGCATGTTCTCACCCTATTTTCCATTTACTGACATGTTATTCTGCCTCCTGCTTTTGTTTTTCAGGGTTCTCATGGAGTGAGAAAACCAAAGGAATTGCAAGGTGTGTCTGTCTTCTCCAGGGTTTGTGTGGCCCAGCCCAATGAAGTGTTCCTCAGAAGTTCCAGAAGTACATGTGAGCTGTTCCTGGTTTTTCACACACATCAGGTTGGCCAGCACTGTTTCTTTCTTCCTGCTCATACTGCTGATTTTGTACGAATGAAGAAAATGTACACTGAACATCCAGATCAGATTATTTATCATTCAGTAACTCCTAGACCTTCCCTTTCTGATGTTTTGCTATCAGTATGTGTTGAATTAAACCAGCGAAATGACTTGGCAGCTGCTCTTCCTTTGGGAGCATTATCAATACATATACTTTCAAATAATACCCATATCCATGCAATATTACTTAATAGAGGCATGTCATACTGACATTTGGTTTCAGCCACTTGGGACAGATTCCTGGTATGTAAAGAGGAAAACTCCTTGCTAAGCATTACTCTGTACTGAGAAAGAACCTCACACAAGTCTATAACATAGAATCAATCATTCATGTTAAATGGATTTATTTCTAAAGGATTCATTTTTTATATTAATGGGATAAAACTTTCCTTGCAGCATTACCAAGTTGTGGTATGAGGCTGTCCCTATGTGCTACACTGACCTGAGGGACTTTCTTACACTAGCATTTATGTCACAGTAGGGACTAGGAGTTCCATCCAAGGTCAAGTTTCTGTTGTACTAGACACACGGCAAACACTGTAAACTTTTCAGGACAGTCACTATCTTTCACTTTCTGAATAGACAAAACAGACAATGAGAGGGGGCAAAACGAGAGACAGAGAGGGAAATGACTTGCATGAAATCAGTGACAGATCCCAGAGTAGGACAAATGTCTTCTGACTCTGTCTAACACCCAGTCCATCTGGTAAAATGTCTGCTAGCATTGTGCAAACTGATACACGTGACAGACCAAGAAGCATGAAGGTCCCATCTGCTTATGAAGAGCTGAATATGCATCTAGGGATAGGGATGAAACAAAACTGAATGCCTCCAAGCTTCTCAGCTGGGCCATTTTGATCTCTGAACCTGGCCACGCCAAAAGCCTGATTCTCTGATCCAGACTTTGGGTCTCACTTTTGCAGTTGACTCCTAGTAGAGCCATATACACTCTAAACCCCTTTATATATGAAAGGTACAGAGCATGTGGGTTGCTCTGTTTTGGTCTCCTACTCCACAATTTGGATTGCTAAAACTGGTAGATTTTTCACTGGTGGAGTGAAGTGAGACCTACCCACCACTCATCTTGATGGTCGTTGCTTGTTTGGAACATCACATCTAATCAGTATCACAATTTCAAGGAATGTTTTAGGGATCAATGGGCAGCCCTATGGATTTGGGGGAGAAGGGGAAAAGGGAAATGCAGAGCCCATGGGATTTGCTTAGCATACTCAAAACTGCAGTCAGACCATCTGCAATGGTCTATAGAGCAAAGACACAGCAGTTAACATGGTCCAGCATGACTTCATCCTTCATCTCTGTTTGGCCCATCCAGTTGATGGAATTTACCGTTGACCTCTTCAAATGAGCTGCTTCACAGACAGGCAGAAATAAAAAGGAGCTCCTGATAAGTGTATCTATTGTTTATGTGAAATCTGCTGTCTGAGAGGTTTTGCCCATTTTGGTCTAAGGCAAGATTGAATTTTATTAGTGGATGTTAACAGTTATGAACCAAAAAGATGACAAAGCCAGTAGGGAAATACAGAGTGCTTGAGCAAGGGACTAACATAAGAGAGATGGGGATGAGAGGAGGGGAATGCAGCTAGGTTACAGAAAATACAATGTTAGCCAACTAAGCCGAGAGCTCCCCCACTCCACTCCCTGCCTGTACTCCCCCTGCGCCTCCCTGAGGGCAGGGATGCGCACCAGTGCCCCGCCTGTGCGCAGGGGCTGCCTGCGAGAAGCGCATTGATCCTCTGTGCTGTGGGGGAAGGGGAGGGAGGGGGTTCGCAACGCTAAGAGAGAAAGAAGATAGATAAACACAAACCTGTACAATGGTCCACAATGATGGAGAGAGTAGGTTGGAAAAAGTTTCTCAGTCCATAGAGTCTCATCACAGGGGTCCTCTTTGGGTGGAGCGGGGTGGTCTGTTGTTGAAGATTCCTCTCAAAGTCCATCAGGTGCAGAGAGGGGTTTGGGCGGTCCCCTCTGGGTCTGGTCCAGTGGTGGACCAGCAGATCGTGTTGGACACCACGAGGCAGCACATCAGCTTGGCGTAGCGGTGGGAAACACTGCAGGCATGCAGGATGCTCTTGTTGCTGGGGCCCCAGGCTCCAAGCGGTCCCACGACAGGCGTGCTCTGCCAGCCTCGGGTTCCACTGCTATGGTCTCAGCCAAGTAGCAATCTTATTTCCCAGTACCTTGTCGGATGTGTCTCATGTCGGTATCACCCCTCCTTGTGCCCCTTGTCCATAAGCACTAGCATCTGTGTTTGATTAGGAGTTTTGAAACATGGGCAAGATAAAAGAGGAGCAACTGCTTGCAAGGGAAATGGGCCACTGTGTGAATGAGAAGTGAGCTTCCTGCCTCCAAGTTCCTTTCAAAGTATGACCAATGCTTAGACCAAAACTGGCTAAAACTGGCCTTGAGGTCACCAGTCCACTTCTCACAATGAATGCTCTGAGCAAAGTCCAAGGGTGGCAATCTTTGATCACTGTCCACTTGGTCTGGATTTCAATATATAGTGAAATCTTGGTCTCATTGAATTTAACAGCAAAATTCCCACCGATTTCAGTGGTATCTGGATTTCACCCTCAGGGATGTGAATCTCAAGAGGCTGCTGCTGTGAGTCCTGGGGCTGATCAGGACTGTCAGGATGGTGATGTGGGTGGAGTGGCAGTGCTGCACAGTTACCTGATAAGCAGTGGGAGGCTGTGGGCACAGGGGTCACCTCCTGAAGGTGTGAGCAGGGCACCTGCTGCCCAGGGCCTCCTGGCAGTTGACAGGCTCTGTTTCAGGGTGGGAGTTTGGATTGCACCACAAGGTAACTGGACGCAATGTTTTTGGACAGGTTCCTAGACTGCCCTCACTGTACCACCCCATGCCCACTGCCCAGCTGATCCTCTGTGCAGGGGGAAGCTGGACTGTTTCTGACACCCTTCTTGCCAGTCAGAAGCTGCCCCACTTCAAGCCGAGGCAGCTGGGGTGCAGGGGGAGGTGCGGATCCGTACTAGGGAAGGCTTGGGACTTGCTGTCCAACGGGGGTTGGCACCTGTAGGGGCTCGTTTTCAACCGGGGTCCCACGGTGCGGTTTGCTGGAAGGAACGAAGAGGCCGCCTGCGCCCGATGTCCCTTCCTGGCCCTGCCGCGGCCCCCCGGTCCCCGCTCCTTGGGGAC